GTAGCTACTATTTGCCATAAATAATTTCAGCTGCCACAAATGGATACAGCTGCTGCAAATAGATAGACATGAGAAAATTTTCTTAAATTTATTTGTGATCTGCAGTAACTAAATTTTTGAATTGTAATTAATGAATTCAATTGGTCAGCTGTTCATTTACAATGAAACTATAACATTTGCAATTATTTGTGGCAGCCATAGCTATTTACAGCAACCATAGCTATTTACAGCAGCCATATATGTTTGCAGCAACCATACCTATTTGCAACAACCACATCTATTTGCAGCAGCCATAGTTATTTGTGGCCATAATTATTTGTGGCAGCCATATCTATTTGCAGCAACCATAATTATTTGTGGTAGCCATAAATATTTTATAATGGTAATTACCCTATGCTAGTTACCAATAAAGATGGCTCCTCAATTAATTGCAACTAATCTCTGAAGTTTATTGAGATCAAGAAGATGAAGATAAAACTGCATTGGCACTTGGCTGTTTGGCTGACAAGAATGGACTGATGATTATCAGTTCATCAATTTATCACAAGACCTAGAAGATTTATACTTAATATTAACACTTGCTATATATTATTTCATTCTCCCTTCCACATCAATGTTAACATTGAATGGATGTCTGGAATCAGAAATTGATAAATTAACTTTTGAAAATAGCAAAGTGGCAATCTATCAATGGAAATAATAACAGTATGATCCTATGTCAACCAGGATTTCAACACCTTACAAGTAAAGTCAAAGTTTTCCTAATCTAACCTTAAAGAGTTCTTATAAAACATGACTAATTAATACATGTATCTATATCAAGTTTGCTTCATTCTACCTTCTGGTTGTATGATGATAATCTTGAGATAAGTGTCAAGTAAACCAATACTTTCAGCCTGTCATAGAATGACTAGTATTTGAGCTTGCTTCTTGTTTTAATAGTCTTTTGAAAGTTTTGGTTCAGTTTTATGTTTTTCAATTAATATATATAATACAGGAAAGTTATTTCCTTAGTGGAAAACAAGAAATTATTTTTTTAAAAAATGGTTCATTGTCCATTTTTTAGAAGTGCTTTAACCAATGCAACAAAAACAAATGGTTATTACTTTATTGAAAAAATCAATTATTAAGGAATTAATTTTTTGGTCTATTCTAAAGTAAATTTACTAATTAATATTAGATTATATTGTTTACATTATATTTATTTGTTTTTTAATTAACATTAAGTTAAGTTTGGATGGAAGGTCTGTGTTCAGTTCATTATGAAAAAACTTGTCAATCTTGACCAAAGAAATACAAATAAGGAAATTGTTTGCATAAAAAACTATGAACCAGTGTATAAATTTTGCTGTGTAACATTATAATTGCG